GCTGCCCCATCATTAAATCGTAGTATAACAATTTTTTGGGATGGAAATCCCATCGAGAATCATTTGTCATTGCTAATTTCAATATTCTAAATACTTCACTGTGTTTTAATTTTAATCTGTAATCTTTGAGTTGCAAGTCAGTAATAGAAAACCTGTTTTTTAGTTTTTCTACTATATCAGGGAGAAATTTAATTCTATAATCTTTTTCCTTATTGAAATCCGGGCAATTCGTAAATACTTCCTCAAAAGATATACCAGAACATGTGCTGAGGATAAAATATTCCAAGCGTTTTACTATAGCTTTATGTATCATCAAAAATCCTTCTAGTAAATTTAATATTCTATTCGAATCATCAAATTTACCACTTTTATTTTTAAAACTCATTTCTACAGATCCTGAAACGTTATTCAAGTATAAATTTACCTCCATTAAAGATGATGGATAATTTAACCAATCTGATCTTAAAGCTTCTAACATTGCAATTACAATTTCACCATGAGATTGTATTGCTCGTCCATATATTTGTAAATCACCAATCAAAATATTTGATTTGTCCTCTTCTAATTTTAGCAAGTATTTTTCATTATGTTTAAAATAATTCAAAACATACCTGGAGAAATTACAGTTTAACTCTGTATATTCTATAGCTGTAGAAATATTAAACCAAAGAACAAAAATATAAAATATTTTATGTACACTCATTGTAATAAGATAATTCATAAATAAGCTATATGCTTAGAAAATTACACTTTTTGTATATATGATTTCAAGCATTCGTATTTATGTCAATAAATTTAGAATATGGCATAACTAATATTAATTTAGCAAACACATTTGTCTAAATAAATAAATACACTAAAGTATTAATTCTCTTTTAAAGCTTTNTAAATAAATAAATACACTAAAGTATCAATTCTCTATTAAAGCTTTACAATAAAAAGTTCAAAATTAGTCATTTAAAAGATGGCAATTTTTGAGATATATTTTCTAATTAATAATTATTTGGCTTTTTCTGCAATATTGATTGACATCATTCGATTAGAAGGAATAGAGACTTTTCTAGTGATACATACAAAAAATTATAATACTATACAATAATTGAAATTATAATATTAATTTTGCAAATACATTTGCATAAATAAATAAATCTACCAAACTACCGTTTTACAATTAAAACTTTACTTTACGCCGTAAGACTTAAATTAGACGTAAATAATTAAAAAAAAAAATTAAATATAAAGTTATAACATGAAAAATGCTGATTTTTTTGATGAAAAGTATCATTCTTTGAAAAAATATTTATTATCTAATTTTAGAATAACAGACAAATTTTATTATAAAATAACATCAATAGACCATAAGTCACAATATGTAATTGGAAATTTTCAATCTTGAATTTTTAGTTTCGATGAGAAGCTGAGAAGATATTAATTTTACTATGACGTGTTTTTTTTTTTTTAAATCCATATCTGATATACATGACACTGTTAATAACTAGCACGCTGATCCGACTAAAATAGTAGTTCGGATTGAAGACATGAATACGTTGGTAACCCAGTTTAGGAACCAACATCCCGATATCATAGATATGCTAATTGAAATTTATTGCTTTCATGAATATGATGCTATTAACTCTCCCGTTGTTGACAATATGGAAAAACTCGCCATCCATACCACTACTTACATTTAGCTAGTTATTAGACTTCGTTGATCATCGATGCAAATTACTTGAAAACATTAGAGGCGTTTCTTATGTACAACCTAATAAGTCCGAAATAAAATCAAATGTAAAATCATCGTTATATTCCACTACTTTGGCATCTAACACGTCCTTGAGTTCAATAATTAAAAAGTTTTTATTCTGTAATAATCCGATATTTTTATAGCTGGACATACTTCCGAACACACAGCAAAATGACTTGACTCTTTTTCGTTAATTTTGCGCAGCGATTAGGAATGGAATATAAAAACTGTGTAGATTTGATATAGAATTGTAGCCAAGAACGAACTATACACTTACGCAGATTCCATATATGTGTTTTAATCGAGAACTCTAGAGAGACGCGTATTCGCAGTTGTAGAAGAGAGGATTAGAACCCACCTACCCCAGACGTCGTAGAAACAAACCTTCTCTATGAAACTGGGCACTTATGATTCAAAACTCGATTCACTTTCATATAGGTCGATAACGGAATTTGTGGATAAGGGAAACATAGTACCATGTCAGCAGTTATATTATATAATTCATAAAAAAATGTTTTCAGTATCACAAAAAAAAGTATAACTAATAAATTTAATTATTTAATATAATTTATATTTATGTATGATTAAAATTAATCAATATAATGATTGTAATTTAAAAACATATACAAAATCCCAGAAAAACGTATAGGCTGTAAGCTAAACTGATATAGTTTAACTTTACAAGGACCCCGAAGAGGGTCCACCCTGGGCCGAGGCAAAGCTGTAGCACTAGGGATTTTAGTACCTTATACTAAGGGGAAAGGTTATAAATGCACTATGATTTAGTACAATTATTAAATTTGATTAAATATTACAGACAATTTTTTTTTATCATAACATAAACTCATAACATAACAAAAGTATTTAAAAAGAGAATTTTACATAAATACAAATTAATTAATTAAATACACAGATTCCAAATAAAAGGGAAAATATAGAGAACAAAAACACTACAGTAAAATATTGAATAAATTAATAGTAATTACGTTATGGCCAAGTATATAAGAGAAAATTTACAGTATGTTTATAATTAAAAGGGAGGACAATGAATAATGATTTATCACAATAGTACATACAAGCTGTCTACAGACAGTCAAGCATTCAAATAGCCTGTGTTTTTTACAAAGTGTAATGATTCATTACTAATAAAGTCTGAACCTAATGTTCCATTTTTTTTATTATATTAGTGTTCCTGATAAAAAGAAGTCACCAGGTATAGAACTATATTAATTGGAGCAAAATTACTTGCTGGAGTATATTAAATTTCAAATTTCAAAATCACAATATGAAAAAAAGAACAAAATACAAGAAACATGAACATGATAGATCTAACGCATGCGCCAGGGTATAATGGACATGTCACCAACGTCAATGAGTATCCTCTACATAAATGTAGAGGACTCATTGAGATGTTCATATTGTCCACCCTGACATCATCCGAGTAACTGAATGCTAATGATAAAGAAGAATGAAAGAAAATACAATAGACGGATTGACATTACTTATAATATAAAATTATAGTAAAATTTCATTAGTTAATATATAGTCATTAACTAATAAAATAACAAAATGCAAATATGGCCATTTAACCAAAAAAGAAAACCATGTATTTAGCTATGCACACTGTGCGGAAATACAAAAAGATCAAATACACCATATTACATATTGTAGATGGTTTTCCAAGTCCAGATAATAGTAAGGTGTTGCCATAATCATGACCAAGCAAAATTCAAAACTTACTCCTCCATTGTGAATTTGTAAAGACACGTCAAAAATTTTATGAGACGATGATGAAGAACAGTGATGATGATGAGAGCTGATGATTTTTGAACATGACAAAGATTATTTTATGCCAACTTGATCCCACGGGAGAAGGTACTTGACAGTGTGACCATTATTATGGTATTTAGGATAAGGATCACAGGTAGTAGGAAACATGTATAAATTTAATAATTATTAAATTGATTATAATCATATGTGTATATTTAACACTGAACCTACAGATGTACGACGTGGACTGTTTGAATACAGTTACCTGTGACCTCATATTCATGATAATTTATTACGTTACAAGGTTTTATATAAATTTATAAACTATTTTAGTAAAAAAAAATTATATATTACGATTTTGTACATTTTTGACACCTACCTAGCAATATCTGGTTTTAATTTTAAAATCTATTACTTAAATATTGCTTAGATAAATTTTAACTTATTTATCAAAGCTGATTGGAGATTAAAAATGTTATTACTGTTACTTTTAAAGTATAAAGAATATGTATCTCGTGTTTTATTCACTGTATTAAGCGATTCTTTGTATTTGTTTAATTCAATAAAGTACGATGACATTTCATTAACAAATTGAAAAAAGTTGTTATATAGATTTACTATAGTTTTAAATGTGTAATTTTATATCCTATTATTTTACCTTCATAAGTGTTCAATTTATTATTAAAAAAGAAGCATGTATAGACAGTAGAACTTTTTCAACTTAACTTTTGAAAATATTCCGAAAATACTGCGTCCTTTAAACATATGTCAAATTAAAGCTTATATTATGCACTATAAATTGAAAAAAAAATTTGTCCCGATGACTTAACTTCTACGTGCAAACGGTTGCCATAGTTAAAGAAATGCTATTTTTGTGTTAAAATTTTCAACTTAAAATTGCTATAACTTTTTGAAAAATATATGCATCAACACAAATTTTTGTTTTTCAAATATATTATATATAGCCCTTTCATCCGACATACTTTTTTTAAGAGGTTATTTTTATGAGGTCTTTAAAAAATATATTAAATTAAAGCTACATTATGTACTATAAGATAAAAAAAAAATTTGTCCCGACAACATATTATCTATGTGTCAATGGCTGTCAAAATTGAACAAACAATGTAATTTTCGTGTAAAAAAATCACTGTTATTTTGGTACTTAAAACTTCTATAACTTTTTTAAAAATGAACGAACCAAAATAATTTTTTTAATATAAACACCTTACGTATTTCCTTTTCATTTTGTATAAATGTTATAATCTTCCTGCAACTTTTTGTTATACTGTCTCCTCCATGTTCCTTTTTCATTATCATATACTGGTCTACGTATTATCTTCTAATTTTTTTCTTAAAAGTTCTCAGTTTTCTTTCCGTATTGTTTGTGGTAGTTCTAACCTCGCACCTATATGTGAATGTGGGTCTTATTATTGCTGTGTACAGCCTCACATTAGTTTTTTTGGAAAATACTTTTGACTTTAATAACTTATTTATTTGGAGCAAAAGTTGCTATTTCTGCTTTTATTATCCTTACACATATTTCCCTAGCCCAGTCTTTGTTTTTACTCAGTACTGCACCTAGATACCGAAATTCATTAACATTTTTGAAAGCTAGGGATCCCGTAGAAGTGTTGTCTTCCTCGCCTAGTAGTTCCATTTTCTTTGTTTTTTCCATATTAATTTTTAAACCTAATTTACTGGCTGCTCGTTCGAGCACTTGAACTGCTTTTTCCGTATCTTCTACGGAGTTTTCTAAGATATTTAAATCGTCAGCAAAACCAAGTACTTGTATTAACTGTTGGCCTATCGCTATCCCCGTAGTTTCCATTTGCAACTCCCTTATGGCTTTCTCCGAGGCTAAATTGAATAAGGTAGGTGAGAGCGAATCTTCTTGTTTTAATCCTGTACTAACTTCAAAAGCTTCAGACATTGTTTGTTCAACTCTTATCTGTACAGTGTGTCTTTCATGCACATTTTCGTCAAAGCTACAAGTTTATTTGGGATTCCGAAATCCTCCATTATATTATACTATAGCTCGAACGACGCTATGGATCATCCAAACACTACTCGTGTGAGTATGCGTACCAGCAAAAACTAAAACAAACAACTTTTAATATTCCACAAATATATAACTATTTTACTATTTAATAATTTGCATTTTTAATAAAAAATATTTTTTAAAAATGTAGAATTACGAATTTACAATTAATTTTTTTCTTTTAATTAATTTTAACTCTCAATGTTGAGAGATGTAAGTGGCCACCTAATTACGGATGAAGCGAATAGTGTAAACAAATTTCGGACTCACTTTAAGGATCTCCTAAATATAATCCAAAACGATATTATAGAGGAAGATCACCCGCTTCACCATAAAGTACAACCAGAGATCACTGAACCGGTAGGGAAGAAATAAAACAAATTATAAAAATGCTACAGAATAACAAGGTGCATGGTGAAGACAATATAAATGCTGAACAAATTAAAATATCGACTCCAGAAATGTTTTAAAAATTTGCATATTAATTAAAAAAATCTGGAAAAATGGATAAATCCCTTAAGATTGGAGAACGGCAATGATTTGCCTAATCTATAAGAAAGGAGACCCAATGTATACAAAAATCTACAGGAGGGGTAGCGCTACTAAACACTTGTTATAAAATTCTGTCTTCTGCAATATGACACAGACTGGAAAATTACTCCAAAGACATAATAGGAAAATACCAAATTGGATTCAAGAAAAGAAAATCTACCACATATTTACAATAAGACAAATATTAGAAAAATATTATGAATTTGGAAAAGAAATGTACATATGTTTTGTTGACTTTAGCCAAGCGTATGATAGTATCAACAGAGACAATCGATGGAGAACCTTAGACTCCTTAGAAATTATAATGATATAATATTAAGAATCTCAGCAGCCAACAAAGGATATTTTACATTAATAAAACTAGTTAAATCTAAAAGCCTATACTTAAGTTATCTACGTCCAATCCTAGCATATGGTTGCGAAACGTGGTTGGTGACAAAAAGTGACGAAGAGAAATTGTTAATTTTCGAAAGGAAAGTACTCCGTCGAATTTATGGTCCTATTTCTGAAAATGGAGAATACCGAGTTAGAACAAACGAGGAGATTTACCAGCTATTTCAAAAACCAAACATAAAAGCATTTATTAGAAGCAAACGACTTGAATGGGCAGGACACTTACGGAGAGATAATGGTATCTGTAAACAAGTTTTGGTAGGTGAAATCAACGGTAGAAGACCCAGGAAAAGATGGATGGACACATTAAAATCAGATATGGCGAAGATTGTATCATGAACGGAGCTAGAAGAGAGTGAAAATAGAGAGAGATGGCTGAACATAGTGGAAGCAGCGAAGGCTTTCAATGGGCTGTAAAAGCTATAAAAAAAAAAAATTAGTAGAGGGTGCGATTGTACCACAGTTTAAACCACTGGTATTAATATGTATTTCTTTCGTTATTTTATATATTCATTAGTACGTATTAACTCATTCAGTAATACATACCTTCTTGAGTCACGATTAACAAATGTCACTCGTATTTACCATTTTCCACATCTGCGCTATCTAATAACGATGAGATTAGAATTTCAATTTAAAACTAGGAGAGTTTTTAATTCCTAGTCAGTTACATTTGTAAATTTTATTTGTGTATTAAGTTAAACTAGAACGCCCGACAATGGTGCGGGTGATGTTAAGTATATTAATAATGGATTTAGTTATTTATTCTCTGAAATTCGTTATGAAATTAATTAATTTTATTAAGTAAAAATTCAAAAAGTACAAAATCCCGAAATGCTTAAAAGGTACATTTTTAATCGAAAATCTATTAAATATCCATTTAGAACTTATATACAGTGATGTTTTTAACGCTAGCCACTCCATTTATTTTAAAATAATACTTTTTTTTTTATCTTCGAATCGATGAGATAAATGTTGCTTTCCCCGAGTTACCATCATTTATTCAACGAACCAATTTACAAAAATTTTTCAATTATTTTAAACATTCAGAATTTTTATACGAAATTCAAATATTTGACACGACTTACGTCACAATAATGTAGTCAACACTGGTTTTGAGGGCAAAGACTTTTGGGCCGTTTATTAATAAGCAACAACAGGTTATTTAAAAACAAACAAACTGAAAAGTCGAACACAGTTAATAATAATCATTGCATAATATCGCGACACCTTCGATGGTGTCGGCGACGCAGTATCCGGCATGATCTTCAGACGTCAAAAACTTAGCATCGTTGAAGAAGATGGTGCGCGGGTGCGGTTCCATTCGTCGAATACTTACTAGTTGCTACTTTAAAAGCTATCAATTAAGCTACCAAACATCCACACTTGAAAAACGTGTGTTCTATTAAAATTTCATTAGACCCGAATGTTTTTAAAAAAAGTACTGAGCGAGATATAATAAATGGATCAATCTATAAAGAGCGATTCTATCACTTAATTTCTCTTAAAATAATATTTTTTTTGTAATTTGTTTGGTTTTTTGTTAGTTACATTTGTATTATCATTTATCTTTGACGAATTTTTTTTTTTTTTGAGTAAATTTCTAAATCTTTGTATTTAAGAAGTCTTATATTATGCGTAATCGCATTGAAACGTTTCAAGATAGTGGTGTTGTTTGAATACATGTTCCATTTAGAGCACTCGCGCTATCTTACCTATATTAATTTTAATTTTTTTAATTTTTGTAATAACTTTTGATAAATACTTAAATAATATCTACAAAAATATGCGCAAGTTTTGAACTAATTGAATCCCTTTTTTTGTAACACAATAAAAAAATATATTTTCGAATTATTTTCTAAGTTTCTTAATAACATTAAAATTTAATATAAGTAGTATATTATTTAAAAATAGTGTACATTAAATTATTGATCAATGATCTTGTTATTCTTAATTTATAACATATTTTTGTAAATTCTTTGACAATAATTTATAAATTATTAATATTAATAATACTTATTTTTGACACTTTAGGAAGTCATGCAAATATAAAAAGAATGTTAATATGCTAAGTAAAAATCTTTACAAAAAATACATTTAATGAAATCAATATTAAATATATTTTATATTATAGCTTATAAAATCATTAAAAAATAACTGAGCATTAAAATGTTCATGACTTGACATTAACGCTTTAAAATATAAAAACTAGGCTTAAACATTAAATAAATTTAATTAAGTTGGACAATTCTTTACTTTCAGAAGTTTTAACTTTTAAGTTTCTCAAATTACTAAAATAACGTGTAATAATTTCAATTTCTCACAACAATGTAAAAACAAAGTCTTTTTTTGCACAGTGTGCATATTTTATTCAATTAATTCTGTTTTTTATTTTTTATCTGATGATATGGTTTGTTTTTAAATAATATTTAATGACTATACAGGGTGATTCATTAAGGATAAGACACTCATTTTCTCGGTAACTATTGAAAATTTTTGATTTTTGGTAAGGAAAATAATTTTTGATTCAAAAAACTCTACAATAATATGTAGTAAAAACATAATTTTTTTGATCCCTTCAAGGTTAAAAAACATTAATTTGCATTTTCTTAAATGGGAACCCCTATTTTGAATTTGTTATTATGATTGAACATAAAAATACAAACAACTTTGCTCTTACAATTTTTTTTTCCGATCAACCGTTCGTCTGTTACAGCTTGTTAAAGTTAAATAATTTTGGACTAAATTTCTATTGTTGTTTTAATGTTTTCAATACAGAAGTCACTATTTTTCTATAGTGTAATATACACTAATTGTTAATGACCAAGATATGGCAAGTAAGATAGCAATAATAATTTACGACACACTAATTGAGTGATAATAATAATAGATTCAAATCGGGTCTTGATCATAGTATTACTCTATGGTCTTAACTGTAATAGCAAAGTCCATTGATTTGTATAGCAAGCTTTAATACTGATAAGTTAATTTTCTAGCCTCTCTTCATCATAGTGTAAAGACTCGATACAATTCTATAATACGATAATGTTATCGTGTGATATGACCAACAAAAATAATTTTTACTAATGTTGATTGATGTTATGTTAAGTTTTAACATAACCACATCGGGTTTAACGCTAATTCTACGTTGGTACTACTATCCCATATAGTTAAATATTTTTATCCATTATTAAGTTGTTTAATTATCGTGTAGTTACAGTGTTTTAATGTAACATTTTAGTATATGTTTTATTTTTACGTCGTAACAATTATTAAATAATAATTTAACCTTATTTAGATGATAAAATTGTACTAAAGTTATATAACAGGTAAGTAGAATTAACTACAAAATAAATTTATATTTATTTGATATAATCATTTTTTTTTTAACTGCAGGTCAAATTTTCATATATGAAAATTGATACATCTAATTGCCAAATAATATATTTACATTTTTGGATTCACCGCTGTTGAAGACAATATTTAATAAATAAAAATAAATCATCTTCTTTCTTCTTAAGTTTCATTGAATTGATTAAGACATTTTTTTTTATAAACAATCAGATCACATTATAGTTAAAACTTTAAAAGTTGTTGTATATTATTAAATGATTTAATTAAATAAAAACATTTCTCAAATATTAATGTTTATTCAAAATTGAAGGTTATTTTTTCAACATAAACCATTTATGAACAGTTTTGAACTCTAAAAAGCAAAAGTGCTTTTATCAGTTATTGTAATAATATTTCTAACTTAGTTTTGAACATTATGTATCTCTTTCTAGACATTAAATTACGGTTAATGTTTAAGACTAGTTTTCCCGAGTTCTTTAAGAATGCATTATTACAAAAAAAAAAATAATACATTGTTTTGTTTTAAGATAATAAGTTACTCGCGAGCAGTCGTACAGTACACACCAGTGTTAACATAATTCGTATAATGTGCC